TACACGAAGGAAAGGTCAGAACCCAGTCTATGCAGGACTTTGCTTCCTTCTCTTTCAAAAAGATGAAGAAGGCAACGTTGACGGCAAGTATGCTGAGAATCAGCAGGTTGGCTNAACGTTGACGGCAAGTATGCTGAGAATCAGCAGGTTGGCTACTGATGAGGAAGATGCGATAGCATCCATATCAGCTCTGGTTATGGAATCGAACCTCCGGGGCTATCCCCCGGAGGTCTCTCTCGGATCTCTAGCAAGGTTTGTTAGAGTGGCCGGTGGTAACTGGGGGGCTTCGCTCCTCAAAGTTTACCCCGACCTGCATAGGCACCTACTGTAATGTGCAAGCCCTTTTCACTTGGTTGATTTTGTTTTTATTTTTTGTTTTTATTTTCTGTTTTTATTTTCTGTTTTTTTTTTATTTGTTAATTCTTTTGATATTTTCAGGAATTTGTGTGGTTTTGAGATCTGGTCCACGGGATGGTTTTTGAAAAGGCTAAGGCCGTTTTTCAKYGAGTATGCACGAATCGGTATAGTCGGCACTAGGGCCAAAGGTACCTGTACCTGTTTTTTGGAGTAGCAGCCGCCGCGTGTATTATAGGTGGGGAAATCGTAGAATGCAARCSAAKTTTTCAGGTGCATGCCGGTTCGCTCGGCAGTGATCACGGGTAAGTTTGACAGAAGCCATACACGGYTATGGCGATAATTAGTATCGCCGGRTATGGGTGTCGATCCGAGAGMRAGTCAGAAAAAAGATCGAGMKTTTTTTTTGGCGCCGGCACATCGATGCRATCTAGTAGCTGGAAGGTAAGGCGGGTTTTCGGTGCGTGACGGTRTTCAGAAAGCGGGTTTTTGCRAAGCTGCACGAGTGGAGGTTTTTTGGTACATGAGCTTATGAGGCATACTCAAGTYGGGAGGATCGTAGTAGATTKTGGCAAGAAGGAAAGAATGGGAGAAGGCGTTGGGGTGGTGGTACGCYGTGTTCAGAAATGTCGGACAGGGAGAAAGAAGGAAAAAAGGAAAAGAAAAAGGARAAGGAAAAGAAAAACGAGGAGGGAAATGGACACGAGGGAGGAGATCGGAGAGAGGTAGTATGGTTGAAGTCGTATTGGTGAGGGAGCTGGTTAGTATTTAAGAGATGGGAGGGATGGCCTAAACCCTCTCACCAAGCTAGTATGCTTGCTCAGGAAGCTTTGGGTTCTTCCTGATGAGTCTGTGGTTGTGCGCCCACAGCGAAACGCGTTGGAGATCGCGTGCATGTGCTTTAACGATGTTTTGTTGTCTCTCAGAGCTATCTTGAAGGCTTTTTGCTGGTCTTCGGTTGTACTGTGTATGATCTTCCAGCGACAAGAACAGTGCGGCCGCTGTTTTCTGCAAACTCTCTCTCTCTCTCTCTCTCTCTCTCTCTCTCTCTCTCTCTCTCTCTCTCTCTCTCTCTCT